GCATAAAACTTATATTAGGAAAATATGCAAAAGAAAGGGAAGCATTTTATTTGTTTCTGGAAATTTTCCCCACCCTATCCCAAGGAAAAATGTATCTCTGAAGTCTTTCAGCCCTTGCTTCTTAGCAGAATCACCACTGAGCTAAGCCTCAACCTAAATTTACTGAATAGAGGTTGGAGCCAAGGCATCTGAATTTTTTTTTTTTCCACTGAACACAGGTGATTTTGATGCACAGAAAGGATTTATCAACCACTGAACTAGAAAATGATTCCATACAGGAAAAATTAAATGTAATAGGTCTATGCAAGAACAAAACGTTACACTAGAGCAAATGACTAGTTCTAAAGAATCGAAGGTTATATTCACTCACTGAAGTACTCAACAGCAGATAAAAGAACAGAAGTTGGAACAGAATTCTGAATTGCTCTCACATATTAAGAGACAAAAGACTGAATATTGTTTGCTAAATTATACAAATATTTAGATGAAAAGTATTAAGAATGTGGCCACAGCAGGATTCAGGTGTACCGCAGGGTATTAGGACTACGTATGCTAAAAAAGAAAAGTTATAATCAGAACTCATGTATTCAATGTAGGTATCAGTCAAACCTAAAAGAGTTCAAGTCTATCATCATAATAAAATAAATGCTGGCCATCATCAGAGCTTCATTATGTCTACTTTATTTTACACAAAATTCTATCAGGTTAAGTGGCTTGACAGCCAAGCCCATGATAAACGAAAAGTGGTGAAACTGCTAACAGGAAGCAGATCAGCCAAGAAATGATGCAAAAACACCATTAAAAAGCAGGCACAAGAAGTCAGAAAACACAGCAGATAGATACCCTAACAGATTTTAAAGGCAGCAGAATACAGTAACTTTTTCTTAATGATCACTGGAGTCAATAAGAAAAGAAGTCAATGTTCCATACACCCTGTTTAACACAAATTATATGTATTTTGTGTAAGAGCATAAAAACCAAACCAAACTCACTGCCGTCAATTTGATTTTGGCTCAGAGAGACCCCTCCTTGGGTTTCCGAGGAGGTATCACTACAGAAGTAGACTGCCCAACCTTCCTTCCGAGGAGTGGCTGGTAGGTTGAACCACCAGCCTGTGCTTAGCAGTCAAATGCCTTAGGCACTATGCCACCAGAGCTCCTAAAGAAATATAATAATCAGGTAACCTATAAAAACCCTCTCACAAAAAATAATTACAAAGTTTAGGGGGGGAAAAATCCTTAGCTACCAAAAAAAAAAAAAAAACAAAAAAAACCGCCAAAACAACCTAATTCCTCACTTGGCAAACCTCACTGTACAGAAGAAACAGTATGAGTGAAAGTAAAGATAAGTGCACTAGTCTGAAATAAAGAACATACCCTACAAAAAGGAAAAAAAAGCAAAAACACTGAGGTTTTATTATCAAACATAGTAATAAAGCTCACAAAAAAAGTCAACATACTGCTTCAGACTGCTGAATCAGACTACTTGCTAGCAATAAAACTTAAGTAATTTAATTTCTGTACTTTAGTTTCTTCTTCTGAAAAATTAAGAGTACCACCACCTGAGGGCACAGGAATATGATAGGTAAAATCCTTGGCATTGTGGCTGATATATTTCAAGTAAGTTAAAATAAATGTAAGCTGCTATCATTAATTTGCACTCAGAATAAATAGCTATAAAAATTATTCTCAACTTTTATCAAAGGATATGCTATTTCAGAAACTTTTGCATTTGAAATTGTCTTATTCTGTTCTCATTCCACCTCCAAACACAGACATCTTCTAATAGGTATTACACAGGAATTCCCTCTTTCCCCATTAAGCCCATGTATTACCTACTTTTAAAAACTTCAGGTAAAGTAGCTTGCAGAGAACAAGTCTAATAATCATAATTAGTTGGCTCTCATTCCAAAAAAGCTCTCATGTTCCATGGCTAGCCTTTCCCATATAAATTAATTTCCCTCTTTCCTTTTTAAATTTGAAAACAAAAGGGGAGTCAAGACACTTGTCAAGGAGAAATAGGAGTACAAAGATATATTTATAAGACAACTTTAATCCAGAAGAGTGTTCTAGCTGAATATTCCAAACTCAGACTATTGCAAACAATTAGAAAAGAATATTATTATAGATACTTTATACTCATATTAATGTAGGTTAGTGACTACTTAGCTTTCACTGATGAGGTTATTACTGAAAGAAATACTGCCAACGGCTTCCTGCTTTCCTCTACAACCACTCATCCCTAAGCATGTATTTACTCATTTGTACATGTGTACAGTCAGTCAGTACAGGTTATGCTGAGGAAACCAACAAATCAAAAATCTTTGTGGTTTACCGTAAAGATTTGTTTCTTGCGTACTTTTTTTATAACCAACAAGGATCAGTTTCTACCTTGTTCCATGTTATTTTCATTCCAGGGTCTAGACTGAAAGAGCAGCCCCAACCTGGGATATACTCCTCACACTATGGCAAATTTAAGACAGCAAAACTCTTCTTAGACAAGATTTAGACAAGATTTGTCTTCCGGTTTATCTGACTTCAGAACTGACCCACTGGTCCTAAATGTTCTCAAATTTGGGCTGAGCCAGTTTCCCACTAAGGTGAAATATACAGAGAATTTCTGCTATTTGAGGTCCCTACAGAGTTGTAATTTCATACTGACTTATTTGAAGCTGAAAAAGGAAACAGAACAACAGAACAGAGCCAGATATTGTAGCATAAAACAGGCCTCACAAAGAAGTCTTAAAACAACTCAGTCCCCATCACAGTTATTGACACCCTCTGACATTCTACCATCTTCCACACTATTTAAGTATTTATTTCTCTTCTTTATTTATTTACATTTTTGGATTTTTTGTTTTGCTTTTTACTGATACAGTTATAGCTGACACATAACTTATCATAGCTGCTAACTGCTTCCTTTCTTCTACTGGTTGTTCCTTTTCTTCAGTATTTGTTCCCCACTTCCTTCCTTACCATATGCTGATTCCATGCTCTCATTTTACTCAAGTGATCTGAAATGTTACATCATGTCCGAAAGTTTTTCTAAGTATTTTAAGATGAATTTTAGATGTAGATTTCCCCCTTAATTGGTTCCTTTCCACTCAATCTTTTCAGATCCTCATTCTCCTCAAATAATAATGGAAAGAGAGTGTTTATGGATGAAAAGGAAATATCATATAAGGGAGAGGGATCATAAACTTCCCTCAGGATAAAAGGCATATCATAAGGTCTTGGGGGAAAAATTTAAAAAAAAAAAAAAAAACAGTTGTATAGAGACCAAATAAAATGTACTATGTTAATTTGTATTTAAAATGCATTTCCCTTGGCTTTTAAGTTTTTGAAATTGTGAAACAAAGGTCATCTGATATGATTTAAAATTTTATTTTTAAATTTCTTGTAACACATTTGCATGCAGAAACTCTTAAGTCTGAATAAGTAGTAGTAGTAATCAGCAGTTTCCAAAATCAAATACTGTCTGAATTTCCACTATTATAACTACTGACAAAATGGCTGTAACTTAAGCTAAAAAACACTGCCATGGTTTGATTACCCATGCACCAGCGGTCATTTCAAATTTATTTTCAGTTCTAGGGTTATCCTGGGTACATTTTTCTTTGGGAATGCAAAATTAATGCCCATAAATGTCTAAAAGAAAAAGAACTACGTTGGGTCACCTCCACTCTAACCCCACATTAATCAGTAGGGTATTTTACCTCAGAAAAATACTTTCTTTTCCTCAAGTTTCTCATATGTACAACTACATATGTAGTCAACTACAAACATTATCACTTATCTTTTCCCAATCTTAGCACCTTTATATATCAGTGATTGTATATTACTCAACTCTCTACCTCTTGCCTTCAAGCCTTTTCACAAGTCACTGACCCTACCCCGGGACACTGTCTTCTTTCCCCATCCAACATCCACTATTTCAAACCCTAATACAACTTAACTCCAAATATTCTTTCTAATGAATTCTGCTTCTCTCTGCATTCCTTTTACATTCATTTAATATAACACTGAATTCATTAGCATTTAATTATATTCACTTTTCAATTTTTTAACCACTCCCATCCCATTTCCTCCCACCTCCTTCACATCTCTCCATCCAGTCTTTCAATTTTTATTCTAAGCACGTAAAGTACTCTCCACAACATGCAGTGGGCACTCAATGTAAACCACTTATACCAACAGACTGTGAAAATAACGACAAAACATAACATTACTTGGTAGATAAAAATGCTAGAGTGTGGGGGAGTGGGGGTTGTACGCGCGCGCGCCTGAATACTAAAGTCAGGAATATTGGAGAAAACATGGAGATGGAGGATAAAATGCAGTAAAAAAAAAAAAAAAATCACATCACAAAAAAATGCTTCAAGATAAAAAAAAAAAAACAAGCAACAAAGATCCCTGAATTACAGTGAGGCTGTAATAAAAGTGTAGATGAGAAACCTTCCAGAATTGCCATCAGCCTTTTAAAAATTAGCTTCCAATATTATTAGCAGTGATCTTTTAACTAACACTGAATTCCAAACAAGATTTCCTCCCAAGCAAACTGATGAATAAAACTGTTCAGAAACCTATCAATACCACGAAAAGGCGTGGAAAGAAGACTTGAGTGGTAGGGAAACAGGTGAAAAATGGAAAGAGGTGCGTAAAGTGGGAAGAAAAATCTGTGAGACTCCTCCCCCTTTCCTGGGAGCAGGGGTCTCGGCTCGCAGCTCCAGAAATAACCCCTCTTCACAGACCCTCTCCCTCCGCTGCAGGCCAAAGGTTTCCAAGAAACCAAAGTTCCTCCTCCCCCTCTTCGCATTCACGCCCTCACTCGCCTGGCCAGCGCCCCAAAATCGCAGCTAGTCTCAAGTCCGCCCGCACTCTCCCAAGGAAAGGGTCAGCAGAGGACGCTTCCCCGAGGCCTTCAAGAATCTGCCAGCAGAGACCTCCGCAAAAGTAGAGGGACCCGACAAGCTTCTGGAAGAAGTCTGAGAATCCCGTTACCTGGTGAAAACCCTGGAAACGGAAATGGCAGCTACAGTAGCTGCCCTTCTCTCCCACAACACTTGCTTCAGCGCCACTGACATTGAGGCTGCCGCCATCTTGCTGCAGGCAAACCCCGCGATAGGAATACGGATCACCGCAAGGGACCAACTTCTTTCGTTCTCAAGACAGCGCAACTTTAATATGACGGAGTGGGTTTTTTTGTTTTTTTGTTTCTTTAAATACTGCGATTTAAAAAAGAGGTGAAAGTTTTGGTTGAAAGCGATAAGAAAGAAAACTAAGCATATAGCTTTATTTAAAATAAACACGCAAAAGTGCTTTAAGTATAAACATCATCCCATCAATTGTAATCTTTGTTGGTTATCACCAAAAAAAAAAACACAAAAACCTCCTTGCCATCCAGTTCATTCAGACTCAAAGTCCCCATTAAGGGCAGAGTAGAACTGCCCCATAGGGTTTCCAAGGCTGTAACCTTTAGGGAAGGAGCTCTGGTAGCATAGTGCCTAAGGCACTTGACTGCTAACCAGAAGGCTGGCCGTTCAAACCCACCAGCCACTCCTCGGAAGGAAGGTTGAGCAATCCTACTTCCGTAGTGATACTGCCTCGGAAACCCAAGGAAGGGTCGCTAGGAATCGGGGCCGACTCGACGGCACATAACAACAACAACAACACAACCTTTAGGGAAGACGACTGCCACAACTTTCTCCTGCAGAGTGACTGTGAGTTCTAGCACTGACTTTTTTGTTAGCCGCAAAGCGCTTAACCACTGTGCCACCAGGGCTCCTTTTGTTGGTTATTAGGCCTAGTTATTTATTTACAATGATAATTAATAGACCAAAAGAAAATACTTGAAAATTTATAAACAACGGCAACTTACATTTTTTTACAAAGTACTCAGAATACTGCTTTCCCAACGTGTTGCCTGGTTTGGTCAAGCCCTCAGGACAGGACTGTATCCAGTTTGATGTTATGTGGTTGTTATAATCATATTTGCCAAGGGAAAAATCTGGACACATGGACTGGCAAAGAATTGTATTTTTGACCTGCATTTATATGAAAAACCAACAGAAAAGATTACTTGATGTTGCTCTTACCAAAAAAAAAAAAACTCACTACTGTCTAGTGAATTTTTACTATAGGCACCCTTCCTTGGGTTTCTGAGGTGGTATCTCTATGTAAGTATATTGCCCAACCTTCCTTCGGAGGAGTGGGAGGAGTGGCTGTTGGGTTTGAACCGCCAGCCTTCTGGTTAGCAGTCAAATGCCTTAGGCACTATTCCCCAGTAAATCTTGAATGTATGATCAAAATCCATAGAACACCAAGAATGTTATTGATGCTTGGTATATGTTGTTGTTGTTATTGTTGTTATGTGCCCTCGAGTTGGCCCGCACTCATAGCGACCCCTCCTTCGGCTTTGGAGTTGTTATCACTACTGAAGTAGATTGTCCAACCTTCCTTCTGAAGAGTGGCTGGTGGGTATATATGAAACCAAAGTTATCTTTTGAGGCAAGTGTTAAAACCATGTTTGTATTATGGGAGCTCTGGTAGCGTAGTGCCTAATGCACTTGACTGTTAACCAGAAGGCTGGCGATTCAAATCCACCAGCCACTCTCGGGGAGGAAGGTTGGGCAATCTACTTCCGTAGTGGTACTGCCTCGGAAACCCAAGGAGGGGTCGCTATGGGTTCGATCCGACTCCACAGCAATGGTTGCCTTTGCCTGTTTTATTATGGGCTACTGACCTTGAGTATAACAATTACCTGTAAACTCATTTGAAATAAAAAAACAGGTTTGTTTGTGGGTTTTGCTTTTTAAGAGAGTTTTTTTATTTGTTTGTTTGTTTTTTGAGGAAGCATTCCTACTTGAAAAGAAAGCATATACCTTTATTTAAAACATAACCTTTACTTTAAAAATAGAATTAATAAAGAGATGGGGAATGACTTAATTCTGCTTTATCACTAATTATGGGAAAGCTAATACAGAAAGGAAATGGGGAGAAAAGGAAGAGATTCAGGTTCAAAGAGGGAAAAAGCCATGTCCAGGGCAAGAGGAGGGAGCTCTGATAGCATAGTGCCTAAGGCACTTGACTGCTCACCAGAAGGCTGGCGGTTCAAACCCACCAGCCACTCCTCGGAAGGAAGAAGGAAAGTTGGGCAATCCTACTTCCGTAGTGATACTGCTTCGGAAACCCAGGGAGGGGTCGCTATTAGTCGGGGCCGACTCGACGGCAAACAACAACAACAGGGCAAGAGGAAATGCACAGAAGGGTGAAGGAAGGTGAAAAAGAGATATCTCAGAAGGAACTTTATATAAAAAAAAAACCAAAAAACTTTTTAATTTGAAATAGATTCCCAGGAGATTGCAAAGATAGTACAGAGAGTTGTTGTATACCCTTGATCCAATTTCCCCCACTGATTACATCATACATAACTCTAATATAATATCACAGCTAGGAAACTGACATCGGTAAAACATGTTCTATGTATTGTTCTGGAACTCTGGTGGTATAGTGGATAAGGCACTTGACTGCTAACCCATAGGTCAGCAGTTCAAACCCACCAGCCGCTCAGTAGAACGAAAATGGGGCAATCTACTTCCATAAAGATTTACAACCTTGGAAACCCAGTGGGGGTTGCTATGAGTCAGAAATGACTCGATGGCAGTGAGTTTATGTCTTGTTCTATGTCATTTTATTGCATGTATCAATGTGTGAAATAATCACTACAATCAGGATAAAGAACTATCTAATAACCACTGAGATCTCCATTCTACTACTCCTGTAGAGTCACAAGCACCCTCCTAATATTTCAAGATTGTTATATAAATAGTCTTATACAGTATATAACCTTAAAGATTGTCTCCTTTCACTCAGCATAAAGGCCTTGAGATCTATCCAAGTTGTTTCTTATATCAGTAATTCATTCTCTTTTTATTGCTGAGCACTATTCCACTGAGGGAGCTCTGGTAGCATAGTGGCTAAGGCACTTGACTGCTAACCAGAAGGCTGGCAGCTCAAGCCCACCAGCCACTCCTCGGAAGGAAGATGGGAAAATCTACCTCCGTAGTGATACTGCCTTGGAAACCCAAGGAAGGGTCGCTATGAGTCAGGTCCGACTCGACGGCACATGACAACAACAACAACATTCCACTGAAGGGATGTTTAACCATTCACCTATTACAGGACATTTTGGTTGTTTCCAGATTTTGGCTACTACAAATAAAGCAGCAATGAAGAATCATGTACGGGTTTTTGTGTGTACTTAAATTTTAATATCTCTGGGATAAATGCCCAAGAGTGTAATTGCTGGGTCATAAGGAATAGCTATATAGTGATGGTCTTACTTTGCATTTCCCTATGGCTAATGATACTGATCATCTTTTCATATGCTTATTCACAATCTGTATATCCCCTTTGGTGAAAAGTCTCATGTCTTTTGCCATTTTCTAATTGCAGTATTTTTTTTTACCTGTTAAGTTTTGAGAATTCTTTATGTGTTCTAAATGTGTGTCCTTTATCAGATATGCGTTCTTGTCATTGTTAGATGTCATCAAGTAGGTTCCAGCTCATTACAACCCTATGTACAATAGAACAAACTGTCCAGTTCTATACCATCCTCATGTATCAGATATGCAGTTTACAAATATTTTCTCCCATCTATAGTTTGTTTTTTCATTCTTTTATTAAGGTGTTTCACAGAGCAAAAGTTTTTGAATTTTAGAGATGTCCAATTTATTTCATTTTTAAATGTATGAATTGCTTTTGGTGTCATATCTAAGAACTGTTCACCAAGTCCTAGGTCCCAAAGAATTTCTCTTATGTTTTCTTATAAAGAATTTATCATTTGATGTTTTAAAATTAGATCAACAATCCATTTTGAGTTAATTGTTGTGGGTTAAATTTTGAGTTAATAAGGTTTGAGGTTTAGGTTAAGGTTCTTTTTTTTTTTTTAGCCCGTGAATAGCTCCAGCATTATTTGTTGAAAACTATTCTTTTTCCATTGATTTACTTTTGCACCTTTATCAAAAAATCTGTTCACAATTTTCATGGATGGCTATTCCTGGGTTCTCTGTCTCAGAGGGAATTTTAAGCCCAAGGTCGACTTTAATGTTTGGGTTAAACTTCAAGGCTTTCTAGTTTATAAAGGCAACTTATGGTAACCCTGTCCATACTCTGATTGACCAAAATCCAACCTCCCCAATTACTACCTATTCTGGTCTCTCCCTCCTATGGATTTGGAATCTATGGTGAAACCTCCACTGTCTGATCTTTTTGTGTTCCTGAAACCAAAACCAAGCACACCGCTGCAAGTCAATTCTAATTCATAGCAACTCAATAGGACAAATTAGAACTGCTTCATGGGGTTTGCAACCCTTTAATCTTTCCAGAAACAAACAACCATGTCTTTCTCCTGTGAAAGGGCTCGTGGATTCAAACCATTGACCTTTCAGTTAGCAGCCAAGCACCTGACCCCTATGCCACTGAGGTTCCTTTTCACTTCCTAACCAGCCATAATCCAAGATCAGCATTGCCAGCAATACACTTTTGTAGAATTTCTGGTTCTCTTGACCTTCTGCTGAATTCCCTTAGCCACCTACAACTGAGGTTAAACCAGAATTCACCTCCTGAGATGCTCATCATTGTTGTGGTGGTTATGTTTTTGTGTCAACATGGCTGAGCCTGGTTGAGTGGCTGGGCAGCTGGTGGTAGTTATTCTCCATGATGAGACTGGTAATCAACTTCATGGTGGGATCTACCACAAGCAGCTGAGTAGCTGCCTTTGGGATATGGTCTGCTTCCTATATATAAGGAGAAGCTTTGAGAATGGTCTCTAGCCTATGGCATGCTTGGACCCTGCAGGTAGCCGTGTCATTACTCAGCAGCTTGCTATGCTCTGCCGACCTTGGGACATTCAATGGACTTAAGTTAATGGCCTGCCTTGTGGTTTGGTAACATCGGGACTGTGCCTTTTTACTTGTCAACCTTGGGGCTTCTCAGCCTCAGCAGCCAGCAGCTGTCTGAGTGAAGAAATGCCTCTAGCTCCAGTGGGCCGAGAGCAGGAGGCAGAGCTGGACCCCAAGGTTGAGGGGCTTTCACCCAGCCCCTAGAGCCTGGCACT